AGGGGCAGCAACCCAACAACGGGTCGTCGGATTCGTCTGAAAATTTCAGGGCAGATAAATCTAAATCTGATGAACATGTTTGCCACCTGTCAGATTTGCTCTAAATGCTTTAGTTTCAGAGATATAAACCAAAAACTGCATTTTACCCCTATGTTCTATTTTTAACCAAGTCGGCCATGATGGTTGGAAGGCAGGGTCATCGGACAAATTTTTTAAACTAGATACTCTAATCATGATTATGGCCAAGTATGGTTAAATTTGTCTCAGTAGTTTCAGAGAAGAAGATTTTTGTAAAAGATTACAAAAATTTACAAAAAATTGTTAAAAATTGACTATTAAGGGCATTAACTCCTAAAGGGGTCAACTGACAATTTTGGTCATCGCAACTTATTTGTAGATCTTACTTTGCTGAACATTATTGCTGTTTACAGTTTATCTCTATCTATAATAATATTCAAGATAATAACCAAAAACTGCAAAATTTCCTTAAAACTACCAAATCAGGGGCAGCAACCCAACAACAGAATGTCAGATTTGTCTGAAAATTTCAGGGCAGATAGATCTTGACCTGATAATCAGTTTTACCCTTGTCAGATTTACTCTATATGCTTTGGTTTCAGAGATATAAGCCAAAATCTACATTTTACCCCAATGTTCTTTTTTTAGCCATGGCGGCCATCTTGGTTGGTTGGCGGGGTCAACGGACACATTTTTTAAACTAGATACCCTAATGATTATTGTGGCCAAGTTTGGTCAAATTTGGACCAGTGGTTTCAGAGGAGAAGATTTTTGTAAAAAGCTAACGACGACGGACGCTGACGACGGACGACGGATGACGGACGATGGACGCCAAGTGATGAGAAAAGCTCACTTGGCCCTTCGGGCCAGGTGAGCTAAAAAGTGTGGAAAGCTGATTTGCAGGACTGACGCATGGACAGATGGACAGACGGACAGATGGACAGACGGACGGAGTGCAAACCTAAATTCCCCTTCGACTTCGTCGGTAGAGGACTAACAATACAACACATAATTTAATTGCATTTATAAGGGGATTTCTAATATTCTGGTTAATTTGGCAATGATGAAAAAATTCACCTTTACTCCCTTATATACAAATGCTACTAGCTCTATAGGAATTGGCTCCTGTAGGGAAATAAAAAGTATGAAAGGAGAATTGGGGCTACCTATTTTATAACAATTTATATAATAATTAAAAATATCTAAAAGCCACTTACCAGTGATGCATGTTCTATGTTGCCACTTTTGACAGCCATTATGGCTTGCACGCACTTTTATGTTTATCCCAAGAGAAAATGAAAACGGGATCTATCGGGATCCCAGTCAAATCCCGGTAAAATTAGCGGGATAAGCCGGGATGGGCCTCAGAAGTCGGGATTCCATTCGGGATAAATATCTGAAACTGGGATCCCATTCGGGATATATGTCTGAAACTGGGATCCCATTGGGATATCTGTCTCAAGCTGGGATCCAATCCCAGTTGAAGCAAGATAAATATACGAAACTGGGATCCCATTGGGATAACTGTCTGAAACCGGGATCCCATCTTACTTTAAACAGGGAAACATAAACCAGAATTTTGTGTGGAATTTAAAAAAAATTATCCTGGAAATGTAAAATATATCCTGGTTATAGATTTCTGTGAAAAACCTAAATTTTGTAAATTTTCCTTTTAAAATCAATATATTTTGAATGACCCCACTTAAAACTGGTGCTTTGAAAAATTGGATGCCCTTTTTTAAATGCCTCTCCCCCACTTATTGCTTCTAAAAATAAAAGTTGTCCACTTTCAATGAAAATTTGAATTATTATTTGAATGCACTTGATAGATCAATTAATGGAAGTAAAGATGAAAAAAATAATTTTCAAAATATTTATATTTGAAGTGTTTTCAGGTTAAAAATAATTAAAAGTAATATTCTGATATGCATTTGCATTTTTAGAAAAAAAAACAATAAATTTAAGGAATATATTGTGAAAAGGTGATAAAAAAGGGGAAGTAACTGAAACATTTTTGAAATACACAAATTATTTATGACATAAAGCAAAGGTTATTTGTGTTAATTAACAATGTGTTTGACACCAAAGCTGTCAGGTGAAGCCCTGCACTTAATGGGTCACTTAATTTGACAGTTTACACAGCTAGCTGAACTTCTGTTGATGGAAGAATTACAAATTTTAGTTTGACCATGGAAGTAATATTTAAAAGGAATAACAACGACTAATTAGCATGTATTAACAGCCTGCAGAGCTCTGTACTAAAGTCATATGATTTTATCCAATTATAGTCTCAGCGGCAAGACCCCTTTGGTTACTATCTGTGATACCGCGGTTGTAAAATGGCATCTGGAATTTTTTATCAGTCACATGATTTTATCGAGTCCGGTAATTATAAAGCACCTGTGTGAAATCCGAGGTTTATTAATAAGAAGGTGGCGCTGTATCATATAAAACCTCTACCTTCAGAAAGAAGTCGTATGATGTAAAAAACTTGAAAAACGGACGAGAATTGTTCAACCTACAACAGTTTAGCTTGGAAAATTGTATTTAATTTAGCATATTTTTGCTTTTTACCGTTTGTTTTAAACTGTTCTAAAAGTATTTTCCGGTTAAAAGCGGATCCCGAGTAAAACAGTTAAATACCGATGAATCGATCAGGTTTCACATGATGTTGAACAAAATAATGTAGACAGATGTAGACATAGAATATTTTACTGTTGAAATGTGCCAAGTTTATCGAGATTTATAAAAATATTTACTTTCAAGTTAATTTACTGTCTAACCGCAAATTTATTTTATATGAATTTGTTTATGTACAAATTAAAGAATAGAAACGTTTAAAATTGTGAATATTTAATTTGCCTGGTATACACGGAAGACTTGGATTATTCGTATTTAATAAAAGGGGGTCGAAACATATTTTTTGTACAATCATCTTCTTAACTTTCAGAAATGTCTTCTTAATTAACTGCATGGTTTTAAGTATTAAAATTGAAAATGATCCACCCTTTTTCTTAAATTCAATATGTGATAACTGTCGGCCTAAACTATTAAGATCGAAAAAGACATAAATAGGAAAAATAGACTAAAATCAACATTGAATGACTGACTCTATTCGGTAGCGTACAGCAGCGGAATGTAACGAGTGAACTATTCGGGTTACTTCGTACGTACATACGACAACAACTGGTCTATTCGTAATTTTCCGGGAACACGAAAATGACCGAAAAGTGTCAGTGATTTGATCTATCACATGTCGAGAGTCAATTACCATGCCATATATTAAACCAATTAACGAGTTATCGAAAGATGGGCGGTAACGCAGATGAAACCTTTGAAGTGACGACGATGTTATTCCTTTCAATATTACTTCCATGGTTTGACAGTATTTCAAAGTCAGAAAAATGCCGAGATTTTCGCGATAAAAACGAAAGGGCGCCCGAGAAACGCCAACGGCTGTTTTGCCAGACAAGCTGGATCGTTTCTGATTTTCTACCTGTTGTCCGGCATTTAAATAACATAGAAAAATTATCAGATCAATGATAGGCCAACGATCGACATCGTAAAACCTTGGTTCTCAACTTATGTAAACAAGTCATGACCACGTGGTTTTTAGTAATTGTACTGAACAGTCCGACCCTAGAAAATACCGTCCTAGATAATGCGGCCACTAGTTCATCCGCATGCACCCTGTGCCGATTAAATTAAAGGTTTTTTTTTCTTATTTTTAAAAACTGGCCAGTAATAAATACTTTTATACGACACCCTTGATTTATTTTTATAATACCGTTACGGGGACGGATCAACTTCTGGCCGATATAATATGGGGCGAGATTGTCACCTCGACGTTAGAGTACTCAATAAAAACGTCATCAAAATGTGATTACGCTGTAGCAAAATAGAACAGTTGAACGGCAAACGCTTTAATGGCGTCTAAGTTCAAGACATTGGTCACGTGATAAAAGGTCAGAGTTTACCGTTTTCTTGTGAACGTGTACACCTCTTGGTTTTTTTACCTCGTATCGTCTAATTGTAACTCGTACATAAATAAAACTTGTAGGGTCCAAATCTTGAGTGAATAAGCTTCATTATTATGTATACTTATTTATGAAAGGTGTTATAAAAGTATTCTAAAACAACGATGGAAGTTGAAATTTTTTTTGGAAAATTTGCGTAGGTCTACGGAAAATCCCAAATCATTTCTTAAATGGGTTTGGTAACGTATGGAGGGGTATAAAATATGAAGTAAAACCATTTTCTGCATCTTATATATTAATTATAGATCATAAATTCCCCGGATACGCAATTGTGTCAGCTTATTCGTGGCGAAGTGGAGATCAACGGGAGATAACTCCGTACACGCGTCGTAGGAAACTGCAAGTTCACAACAGTAAATTCGAGTAAAATTAATGATTGTAGTTATATTTCGACACTTTCTTGAATAACCATTCAATATTTTATGTTCCTCTACTCTTGTAACATTAAAATAGTCATGGAATGTTTGAATATGGCATTTTTTCAAGTACCCTAAAACAGGTTTTTGAAAACTTCCAAAGAAGAAAATTATAGATAACTGACTTTTCTCTGAAACTTGGACTTATTTGTATATTCTCAAACACCCTTTTGGTAGATGGAATGATACAAGTCTTTGTTTTACTTTCTTTGTATCAATATTCTAAGAAAGGATATGAAAATAAACTCAGTGTTTGTACATGTTGGTTGTTTAGAACAGTTTGTTTAAATATATTAAAATTTCACTCTAAAATTAGACTTGAATTTTTATATTTAAATAAGTATCTAACATAGAAAGTTGTTAATCTGGTGCACTGAAAATGTTCCATCAGAAATGAGATTTAACAAAGTTATTTAGACTGAAGAACTTGTCACTTTTTATGCTGATCATATGGAGAAAAAAGAGTGATATTATAAATTCTAACACAGCATCAATAGGAATCATTCACGACTTTTCACGCTCGGCGGCGCTGCGGTTCCATAAGTGGTTACTTGAACGCTTCAATCACGTAAAACGCTTGCATCTGTATTTACAACGTAAACAATATGGCATCCGATGATTACATCACCTGGTCTGTTCCAGAACTAACGTTACGTGAAGCTGTCACAAGAGACAGAAATATAGATCTTATAGAAAGGTAAACGATGTATTTAAAAAATATTGAGATTTCTTCTATTATAAGCGGAAACGCCGCTACAGTACATGGCCAAAAAGATTTCCTCACCTACATTTTTGGGCTATATATTTCATATAAAAACACGTTTATTGGAGGCTTTTATGGTTGTATTTTTACAAATAATGTGTTGAAAAACGCTGAATTGTATATAAGAGTATTTGTTTGTTTTGTCATAGCTCTGTCATCAGTTGTTTTTATTTTCTCCTGATGTGAACACATATATACTATTTTTTACAATTTAATTTGGTTGAAATATAAATATATAGCAAGATTGTTTATAATAGACAATAATATTAATGTTTATCTCAGAAGAAAATGAAAATAAACAAATAATTATTCTGCTGTTGGTACCAAGTTGCATAAAATCAAATCAAAAATGTCCCCTAAATAATCTTTTGAAATGCAATTTTATATGAAATATTTAGAGTGAAATACCAAGTGACAAATACATGTACCCCAAGTTAGAAAAAAAAAAAAAAAAAAAAAAACCACTGAAAAAAAAAAAAAAAAAAAAAAAACCACTGAACATGTAAATAGTCATGAATGTATAATTAAACTTTCTAGGATACATTTAAATGATTTTGTATAATAATAATTAAAAATAGGGGTTCTATACAGATACATGTATTATCTGTTGGCCATGAAATGTGATACAGACCATGCAGACTGGACAAGGGAAAATTAAATTTAACTTGTTATATACTGGGACTATTATGCTAATAGTATAATAGTCCCAGTTATATATAAACAATTTATTACTTTTGATAATGGGACAATTACACAAGGAAAGTATTAAATCCTCCAATACCACTTTTAAACAAGACATGGTTCTACATTTTTAAGCTTTAAATCTTTTAATATGTCTCAGCTTCATCAACTTAAAAAAAAGACACTGTAAAAAAAATATAAAGGCCCTTCTCTGCAAACTTTTTACATATAACATGATGGGGCCATTTTTTGAAATTTTAAAAGATATGTACATCTATAATGAAGTTTTATTTGCAATTCAAGTTCAAACAAGGAATTATTTAAATATGGAATAATTTCAAATTCTGCAAAATTGATTAGAAAATAATTATGAAAACTAACCCAACTAAATATTTTTTAAACTTAGAAATGTGGTCCCTATAGTTCTACGTCCTTTTTTGAATCCTATCTGTTCTTGGCAGATAATCTTATAAGATTCTAAATAGTTTTCTAAACTATTATACTCTAGAAAAAAATGTTCCTAAACTAGTAAAAAGGGTTATACCTCTGCTGTTTGAAGGGCTATTAAAACATCTTCCTTTGAATATGGGTTAAATAAATTTTCTCTGCAATAAGAACTTCTTGCTAGAGAGAAAATTTTATTAATTTTTAAGAAAAAAGAAGTGTTTCATAATTTTATATACATATCATGCCCAACATTCAGCATACAAGAATTTTTCAAAATTTCATTAGTTATACCATTAAATCCACTTGATATCTTGTTTTTCAAATATTTCATGGCAAGCAGAAACCTCCTTTGTAATCCTAACATTTTAATCTATGTAATAGTACTTTAAAAAATCTTTACCTACATGTTTTAAAAAAATTCAAACCATTCCTTAGCTTGTTTAATTAAACTTTGGCTGGAACATGCATTAAATATTTGTCACTGGACATTTAAGATTCCAACAATCAATCAATATATTTGAACTTGAATCATTGATTTCTTTCCTTTTTGTCTTGCCTTGACAGAGTCCAAAAGCAAGACATAGCATATATTAGGTATGCTGTTTTCAGCGTCATCAACAATGTATTAGTTAGTAAAGTAATATAAAATAGTGAAATATTGCAGACATTTTCTACTGGTAGATATTTGTAACCATGAAAGACAATATATTCATTATACAGTTTTCATGATTAATCACAGGCACTTGTCTCAGAAATTTTTTTCCTATATACCTTAATACAACACGTGTTAAATTAAGGTATATAGGAAATTTTTTCTGAGACAAGTGCCTGTGATTAATCGCTAGCCCTTCAGGCCAGGCCAGATACATTTTTTGTAAGTATAGATAATTGTTAATGTGTCAATCCTAGTAAGGAGCCTTTAATTTAGTAGTTATAGTTGGTTAATTTTGGATATATAAACATATATATTTGTTTTTTTATTGTCTTATTTTATAATTTAAAATCAAGCCATTAGTTTTCTTGTTTGAATTTTCTTTCATTTTTGAATGTTGTGACCTTTGTAGCTGACTAGTACAATGTGATTTTTTTCTTGACTGTATTTTATTTGATATTTTGACTTTTTTTTATCTTTTGTAGAATCAATTAGAAGAGCCAAAATTTATAAGCTTATATTCAAAACATTCTGGAGGAGCATATTGTGTGAAGGTATTTATCCTTTTATAGCCTCAATCTATATCACAAAAATGTATTTGTGTTAAAATATACAATTACCATTAAGAGAGTTGATTTCTTGTAAGACCAAGTAAAGGTTACAGGTCCTAATCTCAGTTGGGAAAATGGTACTGTACAGTTTTATTTTAGTACTGGTGAACTCTACCGTTACAGACTCGTATGATAATAATACACCTGAAACTCCACAGATGTACGTGTATATCTAATAGCTATAAATATTCCTTCCGAATCCAGCCACACTGATTAGATGTCGCCTTTCAATATAAATTTTTATGAAACCAGACTGGATTAAAATAAAATTTTCTTGTGTAATTTGATGAAATTTAAATTATCTCCACTAGTTTACTCACTAAACAACAGGACTAATTTGTTAACATTTTCTTTACAGAAGCCAGCAGAAGTCAAGAGAAATAAAAAGAATGGAACAAAAGAAAAATTGAAAAAGAACAGTGAAATGACAAAATTCAATAAAATTTTTGCATTTCTTATTGTTGTTATCTTGTGTATTGTTGACCAAGACAGCAAAGAAAACCATCGAAAAGCTGTTCAGACAGAAAATGACAGATGCTACACATGATCAAACAATAGATAAAAAAAAACATTTCTAAGAAAAAATTTGTTCAATGCTGGACCAAATGAAATGCATGAGGATATTTATAATCTGAAAAAATTAATACCTCTATGTAAGTGAAACAAATTATGCGGTATGGGCTTTGCTCATTGTTGAAGGCTGTACGGTGACCTATAGTTGTAATTATTTCTGTGTCATTTGGTCTCTTGTGGAGAGTTGTCTCATTGGCAATCATACCACATCTTCTTTTTCATATGTGTTCAGTGCAAAATACAAAAAAATGGACTATTCAATAAAATTGATATCTAAGACAGGAAATATTGGGGTTTGTCAATGAGACATCAACCCGACAAAAATAGCCAAAATATATGTAGATTAAGCCGGCATCAACAGCATGCAGACAAATGTAAAAGGAGATAAGTAAAGGGGTAAAGATCAGTATGACGGCAGTTGTTTTCTTAAATGTGGATCCAGAATTTTGAATCTATATAAAGTGATGCACCCCCCCCCCACCCCCCACTCCACTCTGAAGTAACTGTATTAAAACAAAGTCAATGTAGGACTTTCTTTGAGATATTATTGTGTCTGGGAGACACAATTGATGCCCCCGTAGATGCAAAGTGTTATTTTAAAATAACTATAACATTTAACCGCTTATACCCCAAAAATGACAAAGTTCAACTATCTCCCAAAAGAGCAAATATTAATAAAAATCAAAACCTTGACCACATGCACATGCACATCTTCAATATATGTACAAACAGCCAGCAAAGTGAAAACGTCCTAGCATTCAAACTGTAGGAGGAGTTGTGCTGAATAACTATATACCAATAATGGGACGGACACACAGACAGACAGAAGAACAGACAGGGGTAAAATAATATGCCCCCCATCTTTCAGTTGCGGGGGCATAAAAAGGGGTCATTAGGCCCCAAACTAGACAAAGTTTTGAGAGTAATAAAAAAATCTGGATTAACCATAAATGTAGCTCCATAAGGGCCATAAAGGGGGACCCAGGCACCCCACTCCTAAATCTGTCTCTGATATTAAACATTGTTTATATGTTTCTGAATATTTGATAAAAAGACTTGAAAGATTATGTTAGAAAACATTTTTATAATGATATTTCGTATAACATTTAAATGATTTTTTGAGAATATGATGATTATTAAAACATTTTGTAAAAAAATATTTTTTGAACTTTTTCAAAACATTTTATCCTGCAGAAATGAATTTTTATATGTTTTTAAAATGTTTCAGGGATATTTGATTAACAAACACATTCAAATCATTTATAAGACATTTTACAAACATTGTCGTCAAAATTCAGTAACATTTTAATGATGTTTTAAAAGTATCATGAAAATGTTTTGAAAATATTTATAACGCCATACATTTTTGCATGATTTTGATATTTTTCTACAATTTTTTTACAACATTTTTCTATTTTTTTTGGTGCTAACTGGGAAAGCAGTGGTGAAACAGCACCACATTAGAACAAATAATAAAATCAATTGCATGTAAATCCATTTCATCTTTTATGCATATTTATTTACAATGTATTTTTATGAAATTAGAAAGAACAAAGAAACATAGATAATTCGGGAACCAAGTTGAATTAGAAGTTTCCACGTGGAATTACATGTTTCAGATTTTTTATTCCCCTGCCACAGCGGAGGAGGGGCATTAAGTTTTACCCTTGTGTAACTTTTAGACAATACAAGGACTCTTTTAATGTGAATTCGGTTGGACGACACTTTTCTATCACAAACTACTTTCTTCTGATCTAGTTGGAATTTCCCTTTCAGAAAAGTTTGTGTGTTAATATAAGGAACTGTCTTGGCTAGTAAATAAATCCTGTTCCATAATTCCACTATTTGCCATTTGTTGTCACCTTTGTCAAATTTGTTTTATATCTGGTTCTGACAGAAGTATTGATCATCACACTTGCAGCCACTTGGATTTTAACCATGAATTCATTTCAAACATAAAGATGTATCCCATCCATCACTTTCTGGTTGGGTAAAAAGTCTATTATCCATGATGGCTTCTGAAATATGAAAACAGGAAACCACAAAGTATCATTTTATTTAATAAACTGCAGGTTCAGAAAATTTTCTTATCATTCATAAAGGACAAGCGTTTAATGCGGGGATGTGTGTGATGTTTTTTTCTCACAAAAATACTCTTGATTTCCAACTTTGAAGAATTAAAAAAAACTGTTCTGACAGCTTTTGCCATAAGTTTAATGTAATTTTAAAGTCCTTAGAAAATTCCGACTTTATTGCGACAAACAAATAAAAAAATTATGCTCATGTGTACCATGGTACTTTTTAGAATGCAATAAAGGGATTGTCATATTTCCCAATACATGTAGTTCTCTTAATCCCTTTCATGCATTGTTTTGTCAGGGAAATATATTTCACTTGCTATAATTAAGTCATGTAAGTGCACAACATAGTTATTATTTCTTATTTACAATGCAAACAAAGGTAAAAGGGTGAAAAAATGTGAAGACTAGGAAAAAACTTATGAGGGTACATGTATATTTGAAGAATAAAATACATCCCTGTGTCATCCCCCTATTTTAATAAATAATAACCTGTCAAATTATTGGGCTGTTTAATTGAGAAAAAATAAAAGAAAGAGGTTTAATAATGTACTATATATATAAGAAAAATATAAATACATAATACCTAATCCTGTTGTTATATAATCTCCTGTCATGACATGGTTATCAGCTGCATGGTTATGGCAAACTTGGTCGAATTTTCCGCCGGGTTTCCCTAGATATTTTTGATGGGTGGATCAACTCTCCTGATGCCTTCTCTCCATTTCAAAAGAAGTTCATGGTCTTTTGGGAATCTGTGGTCCCCCTTCAGAATAATTGCAGCCGGGGACACAACAATTTTGAAGCTTAGTTTGGTGAAATTAGCGAGTGTCGATTGTAGTTACTAATGTAAACATGTGCAACGTAATGCGATTCAAGCGTCCAAGTGATTAAAACGTTTCCGACAACCACTTATGGAACACCAGCGACGTCTACAGGAAGAAATATTACGAATGATCCCTATTGTGAAACAATAGTTCTTTCCTACAGACATTTTATTTTTCAAGATGTGAGGCTTGCCGATCAATTTACATATTTAAGATTTCACTGTTAAGAGTGGAAAAATAACTTATTGACAGAGATTCTGTATGGGAATGTTTCTCTTGATATTTTTAAATACATTTATGTTACCAACTACATTGTATCTTTGTTTTTCTACTATGATCTGCAAAGAGATGGGTTCTTTATGTGTGACCTCAATGATTGTCAAGCATGATTATTGGTAGCCTTTATTCCTGATGTAACAATGGAAAATTCTGAGAAAAGCAAGAACTTTTAAGCAGATCCAGGTCTTTTATAAAGAGAGGGTGGATTATTCCTAATTTCCATATACAGAAAAAACATATTTCATTTCATGCCAAATAATTACATACAAGAGGGGTTTATCAGCCATTTGTCAGCAGAACTTGTGTTACAATAGAATTTAACTTTGCATTACATTAAATTACAATATGGAAAAAAAGAAAATGTAGACAATACATGCCCCCCTCCTCTTTGAAAATTTGCTTGATCCACCCCGAGATAAGAAACTATATAAGATGTACAAGTTCCGTTGCTCGCTCTTAATCAAGAGAAAAAATCTGAACATCCAAAAAGCCAGAAAGGGATTTAAAACATTATAATCAACACAAAGAAAACTGAAAAAAAAGCTGTATTGCAATCTGATATCATGCAGTTCTCATAATTCCTATTGCATGTATTACTTCAAGTTTTGATTTTTTTCCCTTATATTTGAATTCATAAGTCCTACAAACAACTGTTGAGTCTTTTAATTAAATTATTGATTGAATAATGAATGATTAGCTAAGCTGGTCTGTAAATAAAGTCTGAAAATGCTTTGTTTAAATAAAAGAGTGTTATTATGTCATAAAATATACAGAATCAACTTCAAATTTAATCCAAATTCATATTTAACTGCTCTAAAATGCATAGTCAATTGAACTACAAAACAAAAACCTGAGACTACTATAACAATTAACATAGAGATTGGTCACTTCCCATGTTATAGTAGTCTCAGACAAAAACAAAGCTGACTTAAATACATGTACAGTATGTTCAGAAATTTTTTGAAGAATGGACAACAATGAGATATTTATTTTTCTGATATCAGAAAAAATCTCATAGTATCAAATCAGAATGAGAGTTCTTTTTATTGAGATAATCAATTTAATCGCATTATTTACTTTAATAAAAACCTCATGATAATATCTGAATTTACAGTCATGACTTGTCAACCTCTACACTTAAAAATTTAAGGTTCCTAGGCCTAAATGTGGTTGAAATACAGACAATTTTGGTAACTTTTACAAAAAATCTCTTTTTTATGACATACCTTACAATTATAGAATAAGCTGCATTAAGTTATATATGTATCACATATAAGAATGCTAGTTTGTATTTTAATATCATGATTATCATGATTATTGCAATAAGTTGTTATTATTCAATAAATTAAAAAAATCATCAATTATTTTTGAATTGATAGATCTGAAACTAGTACATACATTTGTTTTTTTAAACATCTATATACTATTCATTAGGGAACTTATTCAAATATATTTTGTACAAGACAGTCATGGCAGTTCACAATTACAGTGGTCATTATAAACATAATGACACAATTTATACAACCAAATCTTATTGTTGATATATGTTAACTGAAATCATTGCAGAATTTTTCTTTCAAATGATTTAATGTTTGTTAGTCACTTACTTTAAATACTTAACCTGTACTGAAATAAAGAGATGTGGTATGATTGCCAATGAGATAACAGTATAGAAACTATCCACCAGAGTCCAAATGTCTGTTAGCAGTTAAATTATAAGTCACTTTACAGACATCAACAATGAATACATTTCATTGTTATCAGGCAGATGAGGAAAAAGAGTAATGATA